GCTAGACATAACGTAGCTGATGAGAGGAAGAGTTTCACGCCAATCAGGAAATTCACATCTCAGCACGGTAATACGTGCAGTCCACAAATGGCTCCTTCCGCCGCCTCCTTCTTCGTCTACAGTACCCATCAGGTATCATACCATATCTTTTACAGTATAGTACAGTACCGGTAAACCCGGACGCGCACACACGGTAGATACAAGTACGATAGACTATCCATCTCCATCTCCACCACAGCAGTATGATACGGCAAACAGATGAAATACCCCGACTGGGCGAGGTACTGTACAGTGCTCCGCACCATCCCATCCCGCAGAGATCCAACTCGCCACATTATAAAAACCTTAACCCCCCAAGAGAGAAAAACAAGCGGTGGATCACCCAAACCTTATTATAAGAATATTATCATACTGTACCACAAACCGAAAGCGAAGAGACAAACGAAACCCCGGATACTTGCCACTGTGTGATAAACCATGGACGAGACAAAATCACGACATCCAATCCCATTCCCCCTTGCCGGTCAACACCGGCACGCTACGGTACACTACCGCACTCTAAAAATATCACCCGCGAAAGGCGGGTGCAAGTAAGGTTGTGCTCAAGAGTCCACACAGTACGGTACTTGTACATCTAAAACAATGAAATACCCTATCGTAAAGAAGAAAGGAAAATGTGCGTGAAGAGGTGAGAGAGGGGGGGGGGAAAACTTGGCGCATGAGTGCGCACACAAATGCATATGCGACTTAAGATGCATAAATGACGATATGTTATCGCATCCCATTAAATGATCCAATAATCCGTTTCCCGTTTTCCGCACCCCCTACTAGGTTACTATGGTAAATATGATACAGTGCCGTAGTATGTATCATAGAGGAAATGAATGTCGAGGAGACTCGAAGGAGGTACAGTACTCGTAAATGAGTGATGGGCCGTGATTACATTCCCTTCATACTAACTTACCAGCTTCCGCAGGGTATGATAGTAACGCGGTTACAGTATGATACTGTACGGTACTCTACTCTACGCCCGAGAAAGCGTAGCAATGAGAGGATCTCCATGATATTTCCTAAAGTTATGTTATTCAACCGTGAAACGAATACAATTTCATCTACAAGTACTGTACGGTAGTGCCAGCCTCCAATGGAATAATACTCACCTGTCAAAAAGGAATAATAATAATAATAAAAATAAAAATAAAAATAAAAAAGACTTGTCCCGTCAAGTAGTAAGGTGGAAGGGAAAAGGCTTACACTTGTTTTGTTCCCCAAAAATCAACCATCAACATCAACACCCCCCCCCCCGCTCCGTATCATAATATTATCATACCACCTTTTCATTATACCCTACCAGCTACCCTTGTATCATGCCATACCATACCATACCATACCATACCATACCATACAGTGCCATGTACGGTATTCACTTAAAGTATGATACCGGTACTTACAGTTATATAATTTGTCAATCTGATCCACCGACCAAAAAAACAAACAAAAAAAAACAAACTTCCGAAAGGGTAGAACGCGAGTGAGTAATTATGACTGGCTGATATTTACCATTATAATAATAATTATTATTATTATGTTGTTGTTGGATAATATAATAATATTATTATTATGATGTGTGGAAAGCTATCGATTAGTCACAGAACTGGACAGGACAGGTTATCAAGGTTCCTCACATAGGCTCTCGGAAAGAAGGAAGGAACTTCTCCTTTTTCTTTTTTTTAAGAATTAAGAGGAAATCATCACCTCTTTTCATCTCCGAATTTGATAATCCCCTTTGAATAAACTGTGACTCTTGTCTTCTTCTCGTTCCACGTCGGCCACACAGCTGCAGCGGCTAGCTTACGTTATCATACGTCGTATGAGGGCGATGGGTATAGACAAGGATGAGTATCATACCAGAGTGAAAGCGGGCGGGCGGGCGGGCGGGCGGCGATTATATATGACGGGAGGAGCGCAGACATGAATCCGCTCCTGCTATTTTGCTGGTGTGCGCGCGAGGTGAGTAGAGAATCATGCATAATCACTCGACACTGGCGCATTTGACTGGGACCTGGTGTTGGGAGTGCGCACCATCTGCGTAGGCACAGTATCATACAGTACGGTACATGACACCTCTTGGATAGGTCTATTAATAGACTTCTCCAGTCACATTTTCGAAATCCACAAATCTCCATTATTAAAACTACCTTGCCCAATCCTTGCGTCCAAAAGGTTATACCAAGAAATGCACGATCATACATAGTGGTATGATGGTATAATAAAAAAAACCCCGATCGATTACACCTCCCCTAAAAAGTACGCCCCCTCCCCCTCCCTTGCACTTTTGAATATTCACACGAAATCACATTAGTTGTACAAATTATTCTATTTCTCATCCTTGTCTTTCTTCGGATTTTCTGCATCTTCCTCCTTTGGCCCCTCCTTAATGATTACCCCCTCCTTGTCTCTTGGCAGGCGCTTCCAGCCCGTCTCGAAGAGATGGCCCATCTCGAATTTGGGAAATGGATGAGCTTCCGTGTTGAAGACCACCTCGTTGAGAGGGAGGATATCGTTCGGGGAGAAGAGTAGGTAGAGATATTTCAGGGTTTCAGCCTGAGGGGTTAGCTGGTTGGTATATGATTGGGTGGGAGGGGGGTGACTTACCAGCCAGAAGCTCTCCATGTTATCGCGTTGCTTAGGCGGGATCTCATTGACATTATCAAGACTGGTAAAGCCATCCTTTGCGCCTTCGCCAACGGCAGTATGCTCAAGAAAGGCCTCAAAAATCTTCCACCCCCATTCACGATAGATCTCATCACCCGTGATCCTCCACATGACGAATAAACTTTCGACCGTCTCTGGCCTCTGGAGGTTATGCGCATCACGGGGTTTGACAATGATGTCTTTGCTTGGATCCTCTTTGAGGAATTCTCCATCGCCACTCTTGCCATGCTTTAGGTTAAACCATGCAATCTCCGGGGCGAGCCCTGTGGCCGTAACATTGTACATCTCATAGCAGGTGCGCATGAGTTCACGGGCAAGTTTAAGGTCTTCCTCTTGTCGGACGCCCCACTTTACCCCCTTTTCTGCTTTGCGCGCTTCTTCGACCGTAAGGCCTTCAGTAGCACCGAGAGCAAAAAGACCTGGCATGAAACAAACTAGGTGATCCATCTTGGGAGATAATTCACCGCCAATGCCATTTGGAAGTTCGGCGATAAATGTAAGATGTGATGGATGGGATTTGGCGATGAGATGCTTCTTGACACCTGACATAGCAGCGTTGTACATGTCTAGGTAGATAGGCTCCTGATTTTTAGTCTGGAGATATTGCTTGATTAAGTATTCTGGGAGATTTGTCAGCGCTGGCCAAAATACCCAGATAGTGGGGCGCATACCATAATAACTATCACCTCGCGATCCTAACCTGATTTCGTGTCCACGGAAATTTCCGGTATCAGCATAAACAAAGATCGGGACAAGGCCGTCCTCAGCTCCGTTATTATCGAGGACTTCGATAACCTTCTCTGCCTTTTTCCAATATAGGGCTTCACCAATCAACTTTGAGAGATATTTCATCTCCAACTGCAGCGTTGCGGCTTCCGCTGTTGATGATGCACCCCCGTCTGCGTGTGAAGGCACTCCCTCGCGGGACTTCAAATTAACGCTCGCGAAGGGGACCCCTGAAGGAGAATCGAAGGCGCCCAGCAACCTGTCCGCAAGATCTGTAGCTTTATTGAGGTACATATCTTCGACAGCCTTCTTCACAGGAACAAGTTTCAAATCCTGGGAGAGGTAGTGTGCGGATAACAGGCCGCCCAACATTCGAATAGTGGTCTCGAACGTGTTCACTTCGCTGTCCTGCTCAAAAGTGAGTGAGTGTTCCACCCAGTGTTGAGCCTTTTCCAACGGCTTCGTCAAGTTCATTATCATCATAGTGTCCAGTGCGTCAACGATAATCCAGCCCATGCCCTTAGGGATCATCTGCCGTCCTGCTTTGGTGACAGGAAAGAACTGATCGTTGCCTAATCTCTGTTAGACTGGTGCGCTCATCCGGAAATTGGGTATGGCGCAGAAGCTCAAGTAGGGGGGGCAATTTATTGGCTTTTTTGCATAGAAATAGGTAAATCACAAAGATAACTGGGGAAGAGTATTGGCATTACCCCAAGCGTGCTTTTCATAAGCATTCCAACTCAACGTAAAGGCTTCCTTAACCTTCTCCCTCCTATCCTCCCAGTTCACAATTTCCTTGGTTTTCTTCTTAATCGGAAGGATGCTTGTGCCAGTACCGGGGAAATACCCAAACCAGTAGAACAGTCCAAAGATGGCTATGAGACCACCTAGAAACCGTTTCCGTCGATACATCTTTCTCCGATCTCGCCCCGATCTTTGGTAATAAGGCTTGTCCTTGTATAATGGTAGATCTCTATTGGCTCCGAATAGGCCGCCAACAGCTCCCTCCGCAATATTTCCGATAGTCACCGGCCGTTTCGGTGTGCGAGGTGATACAGCGGATTTCGCAGCTGCCCAACCCACATCTTCAAATTCACGGTTAGGGCTCGTGAATGAAGGGACGTTCTTCGGAATGGAAAACGACATTGATCCGAGTGTTTCGACCGCCGAGTCAATAGCTGGGCCCGCGGCCTTCTGGACTTCTGTTTGGATGGTTTGTAATAGGGGCGAACGCAAAATCTGAAGCGGGGTTTTATTGCGCAAGCTGAACGGATCGCGAAGAGAGTTCATTCGGACATCGTAAGGCTGATTCCACCAGATGGAAACCCTACAAAAAGTTGGCGTAGAGAGGTTTGGGTAGTAACAAGAGAGCCCCTGCACCTAACATTTAGGTGGTCTCAATTGTGAGCACGTGACGTCAGGGTAACCGTTGGGTTCCCGCAGATGGCACTTTTGGGATCTGCCCCACCAAAGATCAAACCAACCACAAACAGTTTCCTCCGATTGAACCGACATCATGGTGAATCTTTACGGAGTCCAGATTGCTGAGAACCAACTTGTTCATGTTTGTGCCTTTCCCCTACCTTCAGTTTGGCCTTGTTGCTAACATTTGATAGAAAGCTCTCAGATCATTTTTTAAATCCAGTTGCGTGTTCGTTTATGATTAGAAGGGTCATCATGGTAA